ACTTTTTTGTGAAACTAGATAAAAGAAATTTGTGTTAAACAAGTGAAAATTAGATAAAATTATCCATATATTGGTATATATTAATATTTTCTAATATGTCTCTTACAAAAGTTATAAGCGCTTATTAAATAAAACAAATAAGTTTAAAACAATGTCAATTTTTCGAGTTTTTATTAAGAAAAACTTTTGTGTTAAACCAGATAGAAGTTTTTTTTATTAGACAAGAATATTCTAGATAAAATTCTCTATAAATTTGTATGCTTTAATATTATGTAAAATATCTCTTATAAATCATACGAATGCCTAAACATAAAAAAAATTATCTCATGTTACAATTTCAATTTTGATAAATGATAATTTTTTTTAGTGCAAAAGTTTCACCAACTTATCTCCTAAAAAGCTCCTTTACAATTAGAACGAAGGGAGATAAATCTATTGAGACATTTGAAAATAGTGTTTTTGTTCTCGAGAAGAAACTTTCTTAAAATCCTTTTTGTTCGAAGGGATGTTTTTGTTACAAGAGAATTCGCTTTTAATTTCCAACCCGGGGCGAAAAGTTTCAGACAAAGTTAGAGTTTTTTTTATTTGTTTTCGGATTTTTTCAATATAATTGAATATATATATATATATATATATATATATATATATATATATATATATATAGATTAAATATTTTATTCTGAGAGTACCTTAAGATACACCGTCGTACATCTTTATAAACAGATATTTATTTTAATGGGCAAAACCATTATGCACAAATCTTAAAATCGAACCTCAAACAGGGGCTGGTAGTGACATAACAAACCCCCATTTTCCCCCATTTTTCCCTTTTCAATACCTATTTAACCCCCTTTTGCGAAGAAAATATCCGGTCCCATTTTAATATTTGATGTTTGGCGGAAAAACGTTTAAATTGATCGAAGGATATTTTATACTTGATATCCTTTAGAAACATTTTAAAACACAATTTAATAATATATATATATATATATATATATATATATATATATAATTATTTATTTATATATATATATATATATATATATATATATATATTCTCCATCTTTTGTTGAAAGTAATAAACCCGGTAAGATTTATTATAGACGTTTTTCCGAGATTCCGATTCTAAATCTCAATTACAAAAAGTTCCCGTGTAGAAAATAGCACAGTTAGTAGCTATCGAAACTGGAAAATAGTTTCTGACATGAACTAGAAAATTTTTGTAGTTTATTTACTCTGGAAAACTAAAAAACTACACAGTATGTCTGGGGATAGAATTGTATTGTAGGAAAATGCGTCCTTATAGATTGGATGATAATAAATATAATTGTGATTATATATATTATGTTTTAATTATACAGAATTAAAGTCAATTTTATTAGCTTTACATCTGTGTAATTTGTTTAGTAACAAAAACCAAACGCGTCTTTCAGAATTTTTTTAAAAATATGTGTAGTCATATATATAATTTTATAATTACACATAATTAAAACTAATTTTATTACCTATATAACTGTGCAATTGTTTTTATATGCTTTGAATAATTTTTTTTAAAATATAAGGTTGTCAAATATCTCCCTTCCGCCTTTTTGTATTATAAACCAAGAGCAAAAAAGCGGAAGGGAGATATTTGACAACCTAATATTTGCAAAAACTTAAAAAAATGACATATGCCAATCCGACTTCAAAGCTTCGGATTCAAATTTGAAACTTTATTTTAAATAACTATCAGAAATTATTTGAATTTTTGTATTTCTTAAAAAATATAAAAAATTCAAGAGCTTTCAAAGTATATAATTGTTTTTATCAACATGGAACAAATTTAAGAAATATTTAGTAAAAATTAAAAAAATATCTCCAATCTATAACAGAGAATAAAATGGGAATTCGTGTATATATATATATATATGTATATATATGTATATATATATATATTTATATATCGGATTCACAATAAAATTTCAGAAACTTTTAACAGCTTTAAAACTTCTTCGGAAAGTTTTAAAAAGTATTGAAAAGGTTACAACCAACAGCTAAAAGCTACGAAGGAAACTTATTACGACGGTGTATAAAACTTTTATGAGAAATATTAAAAACAACTATGTTATAATGCATATAAAAAATAATATGTAATTTTTAAATTTAAAACAATCCTTTGGTTACGGGAAAAAAATATTTGTTTATGATATAGATGCATTTTTAATAATAATATAAAATTAAATGTCATACAGCGCACTTTGTGTATTGTTCTAATATTTAAAAAAAATTAAATAAGATGAAAAGTCTATTTAAGGTTTTTGTATGATTTTTAATTTAATATACTTCGAAAAGTGTAGTATGCATTTAATATATGAAAATACTTATGATATTTATAAAAATATAATCTAAGAACACCATAACTATTTTTCTACAAAATTTTACTATAAATTTTCTACATAGGATAAAAAAACACACAAATTCGGAGACAAACACAGAACACAAATAGTGATCAATATGAAAAAATAGTGTTTTTTTCAATAATTAGTACAGATAGTTAGTAGTGTTATTGTTCAAATTAGTACAGAAACTGCAACAGAAGAAGTAGTAAATTAAAATTTAGTAAATTAAAGACTTTCAAGCACTTTTTAGCCCAAGGGAAAAATTCGTGTCTTCCTAGTTGTGATGCATTTTTTCATACAGAAACGCGTCGAGAATATTTCACATTTTTTATGACAATTTATGAGTATACAGAGTTGCTTTAGAGTACTTTGTCGTTAGTAAAAGTCGTAGACTATTTAATTTTGAGTAAATTTGCTATATAAATACTACTATATAAATCCAACGCGTATATTTTAAAGTTATGAATGATCTTACAAGCAAATATACTGTTACAAGTAATAATTACTATTCAGTTTTCAGTAGAGGTTTTGGAGTATACCGAGTTGTTTCAGAGTAAAATGATGTTAGAAAGTGTTAAGATTATTCAATTTTGTGCAAATTAGTTTAGTATATATATACATCAAACCCTTATTTAAAAAGTTATCTAAAATCTAACAAATTATTGCACTAGTACAAACAAAATACTTTTGGACCTTAAGCGCGTTCGAATTGATTTTGGGTTACAATATTTTTTTTAAAGTATACTAAGTTATAAAGATAAACTAATATACTAAGGATATATACTAGTATGATATAAAAAAATATTATTTATTATATAATTTTGAATAATTTTGTCAAAAATGCTATATAAATATGAAGCGTATTTTAAAAGTTATAAATAATTTAACAAATTACTGTACCATAAAAGTAATCAGATAAATTTTCGATTTTCAATTACGATTTCAAAGTATTCCGAGTTGCTGTAGAGTATTATAATATTAGAAAATACTATAAACAAACAACAAATTTGCTGAATATTCTGTACAAATTTAAAGCGTACTTTGAAAGTTATAAATAATCAAACAAATTCTTGTACTCTGACAAACTTGACTTGGAATATTAACTAGTTATATCAATGCCAATTTTCATTAACGATTTTGAAGTATACCAAGTTGTTCTTGGTTATTACACTATTAGAAAACAATATAGATTATTTAATTTTAAATAAATTTGCTCAATATATATATATATATATATATATATATATATATATATATATATATATATATATCAATATAATATTTAAATCAGACAAACCGTTTAAGAGTTACAAGAAATTTCATGAAAAAATGCATCACAGCAAAAAACGTACTCCTAATTTTTCTAATTTTTGTAGTTTTAAAGTATACCGAGTTGCTGTAGATCATCATAGTATTTAAAAATTACTCTAAACCACTCAATTTTTTGCAAATTTGCCTAATATTTGATTAAAATCAAAACAATGGTTTAAAAGTTGCTAAAGATTTAATAAATAAATGCATAGAACCACTTGTTACAAGTACTAGTAATATATTTTTTTAAGTTCAAAGTATACCGAGTTGCTGTAGAGCATAGTCGTATTAGAAAGTATTGTAAATTGTTTAATTTTAAACAAATTTGCAGAATATTTCATTGAAATCAGACAAACGGTTCAAAAGTTACAAAAAAATTTAATAAACAAATGCATAAAAATAAGGGTTACAAATACCTGCATGAACAACTTGTTACAAGTACCTTAAAAATTTAATAATTTTAAAGTATACCGAGTTGATATAGACTAGAATCATGTGAGAAAATATTGTAGATAATTTAATTTTGTACAAATTTGCAGAATATTTCATTGAAATCAGACAAACCGTTCAAAAGTTACACGTGATTGTGATTTGATAAATAAATGCACAAAACCCCTTGCAAGTATTTACATACATAAACAACTTGTTATAAGTACCTTAAATATTTAATAATTTTAAAGTATACCGAGTTGATATAGACTAAAAGTGTATAGGAAAATATTGTAGATAATTCAATTTTGTACAAATTTGCCGAATATATCATTAAAATCAGACAAACGGTTCAAAAGTTACGAATATATTCAATTTCGTTTATTCAAATAAATAAATGCACAAAACCACTTGTTGCAAGTACTTACATAAACAACTTGTCACAAGTACCTTAATAATTTAACAATTTTAAAGAATACCGAGTTGATATAGACTAGAATCATGTGAGAAAATATTGTAGTTAATTGAATTTTGTACAAATTTGCCGAATATTTCATTAAAATAAGACAAACGGTTCAAAAGTTACACGCGATTTACTAAACAAATGCACAAAACGACTTATAACTAATGACGTATGAGCGGTAAAAATAGTACGGGAGCTGATAACAAAAACGCAAACAATTTACGGCAGTCTAAAAAGTGCTTTTCACCAAACCCAAACAAAAAAACCAAAAACCAACAAAAAATCAATAACCATTATTATTACAACATTACAACATTAAAGACAACACAAAAGAAACTCAAATTCAAACAATAAAAAGAAAGTTCTTAGAAAGAAAAGAAAGTTTTTTTTCGGTACAAAAAAACAAAAGCATTTCTTACGAGTTGATTCGCACACGAATCGTGTATTCCTCTGGTAATCCCCTGAAAAACAAAATATTGAAAAAACAAAGCAGCTATGCAGATGATTAGGACGACGACACATGAACCACAAAAAAACATACACACGAACACAACACCTACGACGACCAGTAAATGATACACAATGTAAATGGGGAGAGGGTATAGAAGACTAAGGAACAATTTTAAAAATGACGATTAAGATTTTTTTTAGAATTTTGAAGGTCATCAATATCAATAATTTACGACCACCAATGGTAAATGAATGATACATTATGAAGAGGGGGAGGATATAGAATATTGAGATACAATTTGATATAGAAGACTAAAATACAATTATTAAAATGTTTGTAAAGGTTTTTTAAGTTTTGACGATCATCAACATCTACGACCACCAATATTAGATAAATGATACATAGCAAGTGGGAGGAGGATATAGAAGACTGCGGTACAATTTGGAAATAAATGGTAAAGATTTCTTTTTTGGTTCTGAAGAATACATAGTGAATGGGGGAAAGTTATAGAAGACTTGGATATAAATTGAGAAATTATGGTAAAGAATTTTTTAGGTTTTTAAGATCATTAAAATCGAACATCTACGACCACCAATTTAGATGAATGATACACGACAAATAGGGGGAGAATATAGAAGACTAGAATACGATTTGGAAATTATTGGTGAAAATTTTCTTTAAGTTTTTAGGATCATAGACATCTACGACCACCAATGTTTTAGATTGTAGAATGATACATTGTAGAGAGTAGGGGGAGGATATAGAAGACTGGAATAAAATTGGGAAAATGATAGTACAGGAATTTTTTTGACATTGAGGAGAATATAGAAGGCTGGAATATAATTACAAAAGTATTGATGATTTTTTTTTAGAATTTGAAGGTCATCTATATCGAACAACATTTACAACACCCAATTTCAGATAAATGGTACAGAGCAAGTGGGGGGAGGATATAGAATACTAAAATATAATTTGAAGAACATTGATGAAAGTTTTTTTAAGTTTTTAAGATCATAGACATCAACGACTACCAATGTTTTAGATGAATGATACATAGTAAGTGAGGGGAGGATATAGAAGACTAAGATACTATTTAGAAATTAATGGTAAAAGACATTGTGAGGAGAGGGGGAGGATATAGAAGACTGGGATACAATTATGAAAATGAAAATGAAAGAATTTTTTGGGTTTTGAAGCTCATTAACATCGAAAAACATCTGCCACCACCAAATATGGTAAATGAATGATATATAGAGAGGGTAGGGAGAGGATATAGAATATTAAGATTCAATTAGATAAATAATTGTGAAAGATTTTTTTGGATTTTGGACCAATAATAGTATTTGAATAATATATTTGAGGGTAGGGGGAGGATATAGAATATTGAAATAAATTATGAAAAATAAGAGAGAAAGATTTTTTTGGGGTTTTGAAGATTGTCAAAATCAAAACAACATCTATGATCACCAACAATGGTAGATGAATGATACATAGTAAATGGGGAGAGAATATAGAAGACTCAAATATAATATAGATAATTAATAATAATTATAAATATAAAAATAGATATAGATAATTAAATAAAATTAGAAAATATTGGTGAAGGAATATTTTTTTTTTAGGTTTTAAAGATATTCAGCATCGAACAACATTTACGACCATCAAGAATAGTAGATGAATAATACATAGTAAATGGAGGGAGAATATAGAGGACTAACAAAACAATTCGATAAATGTTTGGGAAGAATTTTTTTAGGTTTTAAAGATAATCAACATCGAACAACATTTACGACCATCATCAATAGTGGATGAATGATACATAGTAAATGGGAGGAGGATATAGAAGACTAGGATGCAATTCGATAAATAATTGTGAAGGTTTTTTTCAAGTTTTGAAGATCGTTAAGTAAATATGAATCAAAAAATTAAACTTATTATATATATTATTGATATTGAAATTAAAATTTTCTCCTTATAAATTGAGTAAAAGTTGCCTAAGTCGTACCACCTTCGAAAATTTTACTTTTGCAGAAATTTTGTACGATAAAACTAAAAAAAATATTTGGAACGTTTTGTAAGATTTGGAAGGTTTTGTAGATCATCTGGTAAATTTGAATAAAAAATGTAGAATTTTGTTCCGTTAAACAAAAGCAAGGTTGCTTAAGTCGTACCACATACAAAAATATTTAAATATTTGTAAAATTTTAGAAGAATTAGATTAACAGATAAGTTGTGAAGTTTTGGAGATCATCGAGTAAATAAGATTAAAAATGTAGAATTTTATTCCTTATATTTTATCATTCAGTAAGGTGAGGTTGCCTAAGTCGTACCACATGTAATACTTTAAAAAAAACGTTGGTATTTCATTTTTTCGTAAACAAGCTTAAGTATATTTATTAGCAATTTGTTGATATTTTATTTGATACTTCAAAACCCAAAAATGCATAAATATATATATATATATATATATATATATATATATATATATATATGAATTATGACCAAAAAATTATGCCAATAAATTAAATTAATGATTCGATACACAAGTGCACAAAACACATAAATTTTGTTTTGAAAAAAAAACACACACAAACACATAACATCAATCTCAAACTTAACAGAAAAAAATTAGTAAGGTGATAAAAATATCATTATCAATTAAAAAAAAAAATTATCATTAGGGTGCCTTAACACTCACACACAAACACATAAAAAAATTGACTCAAAAACATGAATTGCAACTAAAAAATAATATTTAATGTTGTATCATTGTGTTGGAATTATTATTGTGTAAAAAATTGCATATGTACAAAAATATATACATAAAAAATGTTCACTAAAATTATGAATGATTTTAATATAATATCTATGCATGCAACATGCATAAAATATTAATAATAAAAAAATTATGGAACATCTAAACATGCAGTTATATATATATATATATATATATATATATATATAAATCAAAAATTGAAAGGTGCTAAAATTTCTTTAATATTAAACCCTTATTATAAAAAATTGTTTTAATATTTTAAGCAAGTACCAAAAAATTAAATAAATACTAGGGATCGAGTACTTTCATCTGTTTTTGTTTCAAAATACCACAAATAGCAATCTAACATTTGGAAAAAAAGTTTCTAACATATATGCTGTTCTAAGATTATTTGAACATTTAATAATATTATTCTAATGCAATAACAAAAATTGCTTCTTTGTTATTTAATAAAAACTTATATAATAATTATATATATGTTAAAAATTATTAATGATAACAACATAAAACTTTTTATATAAATAATATAAACTTTTAGAAACGCTATTATGTAATAATTAATAATATTAATTCAATCCATAGGTAAAAAAAATGTGTTTAATAATTTTTATCAACTATTTAGTATTTATGATACAATGATACTATACAAGTATATACGCACAAAAATATGATTATATCCTTCAAATCAGAATCAAATTTAACCTTAAATTTAAAATTTTCATGGAACTACATATGAAAAATTAACCTTTAATTAATACTGGTTTAGTTATCCTCATTCGACCTCTAATTTTTTAGCACATTTCAATTTTCTACCGTCTAATTTATATTTTAACCATTACAAAATTTTCAATATATTATTATTTTTTTTATAAAACTCACTTTGGGTTGTTAACATGTGGTGGAAGCTGAAGAACACATCTTTGCCTCAACATTCCCTGCCAAAGTTGCACCCCAACAATTCCAAAAATGAAAAAGACAAAAAAACACAACAGCAAAACATTTCCCAACATCGGCAAAGTGTCCAGGAGCAACATCACCAGGATTCTCATACCTGAAAATAAAACAAATTAACTAATAAATAAAATATAAATAAAATAAAAAGATTAAATAACTGCTCCAACTCCAAGTAAAAGATCTTAGTATGATGAAAATTCATATACAAAAATTCTTTAAAATATAATTATCTAAACATTTTTATGATTTTATTCTAATTCTTAATCATATATAAAAATGTAATTATACTTTGAATTGTATAAGAATATTCACGCATTCTACTAATTCTAATTCTACTAATTCTACACATACAGTTGAGTCATAAATTTTACATCGGATAACACAGACGTTCTGTTCCTTATTTTAGTGATTAATTATAAAATATAAATATGTATGTATATATATATATATGTATGTATATATATAGATAATTAACCTTAACTATCCTGAAAAAAATTTGAAAAAAAAATAGTGCAAAATAGAACAGTAACTTTGAATATAAGCACAATCAAAACCAATAACACAATTACCCCAAGTTTTCAAGAAATAAGACTTTTATTAAACTATGAATCGAATTTTTTAAATTGGACGACTTTGAGAGGCCCTGAAAAAATGTACTAAAGTGTGTTGGCAAGTTTCATTATCAGTGAGCGTTCTAAAATTGTAAAATACTTCAAAATTATATTAGAGAAAAATTTTTGCACGAAAATAAATATCTAAAAATGACTGAATTTATAAGAAATGTGCTTAGCAAAAATCGTGTCATTTTAGGTTTTTATTATATTACACGGAATTTTTCAATAACAAAGTTATCAAGTATTTTACCTGATTAAATGCTTCTTTTTAATGAAACTTATTATAAACTTTTTATGAAACTTTCCAACATACTTTAGGACATTTTTTAAGAGAAAGACCTTTCATAGTCGATCGATTTTAAAAATTTAAATTATTAAATTTTCAAAATTTAAATTATTAAAAATTTATATTATAGTTAAACAAAAAGTCTTATTTGTTGAAAACTTGGGGCATTTATGTTGTTTTTGATTGGGGCTCTAAAATGTTATTCAAGGTTACAATTAAAATTTAATAAACAAAATTAGCCAGAAATAACAACTATAAACGAAAAATGGTCAAAATTACACGAAAGCTCTAGGTTACACAAAGCTCATAATTTTTCTATATATATATATATATATATATATATATATAATAAGTATTTATAACATACCAAAAAAACGTTGGCAATTATCTAAAAACCGTGAAAATTTAAAAATATTTTTAGAATATTTTAAAAATAGCAATTAAAAACATTTTGTTAATATAGATTCTAAATTATGAGATTTAATTTAGTCTTCTGTGATATAAAAAAAATACCGCAAATTTTCTTGTAAATTGCAAAATAATAAAATTCAGATTGTGTGTCATAATTCAGCAAATTTTGTTAATCAATATCTAAAAGATTATTTACAGAATTTAAAAAATAAATTTAAATTCATATTTAAATTAATTAAAAAATAAAAGAATATGCGTACCACACCAGGAGAAACCATTTTTTTGGTAATTACATATAGGAAATAAACCAAACATACAATATATGAAATAAATATAGAAAATAACATATTAAGTAAACATGTTTTGTTTTTAATTTTGAACTGAAATTTTTTTTTAATTGATAACATTGTGATAAGAGACATGTACTAGAAGAGTAGAATTTATTCTTCAATTATACTAAATATAAATTTAAATTTATTTTTTAAATTCTGTAAATATTATTTCAGATACTTTATAACAAAATTTGCTGAACGATGACGGAAAATCCGTGTCGTATTTCAAAGATTGGCTGAAAATTAATATTCAAGATATGTCTCAACGTTGAACAAAAAAATCTAATATATATATATATATATAAATATATATCCATTATAATCTTTTGATTGATAATATCCGATGTTTTCCAAATAAATTACACATTTGTCTGACAAATATTGTGATTGAACAAAACTACTTGTATGTTGTATGTATATTAGGAAATTGAAGACGTTTTTGGCTCAAGAGTACCCACCAGCAATGTGCATTAATCTTTTCAAGAATAATCCATCATGGTGTCTGACAATTTGTATATATATATATATATATATATGTATGTATATATATATGATATATAAACATGATGTACCGCTATGATTATGAAGTTTTTATATCCTTAGGATGTTCTGAGAAAGTTCATCAATCATTTCAGAAACAAGGACACGTGCAAAAACAAATCCTTTCAATCTGTATTATATTATATTATGTATATATATATATATATATATATATATAAAATAAATATATAATATGTAATCCAGAGTCATATTTGGCGCCGATAGCATATTGATTACCTAACTAATAAAAACGTAATTTTCGTCATAAAGTAAACAATTATACATTTATGTTCTACTCTAAAAATCTGTATAAATAAGCAGTACATGTGTGTGAGTATGTCTGTGTGTATTTACATTGTCTGGCTGTTTTTCGTGACAAAAATGGATCTGCTAGAAGAAAAAACACAAAGTAGATTGAAATTCAAAACATTTGACAAGATTTTCACTTTCCTACTGATGTAGTTTTCTTGTTATTCAAATCGAAATAAACGAGCGGAATAAATCGCTATTCAACGAAAAAAAATTGTATAATGCAAAATACTTATTCGGTAGAAAGATATACAGGGTGTCCTAGACAAAATAGAGAAAAAGTATTTTACCTTAAGTGTCCTTAAAAAATATAAATAAAAATTATCTCAGGTTGTTTGGAAATTACGAGTTTTTCTAAGTGCAACCTGGAGCTTTGGTGAAATTATGACCAATTTTCGGCTTTTGTGATTTATTTTTACTAATTTTGTTTATTTAAACTTTAGAACTATAATCGGGAATAACATTTCTAGGACCACAATCAAAAATAATAATACAATTGCTACAGGTCAATGTGAGTAAAATGTACTAGCAAAATTATGTCATTTTTAGGTTTTTATTTTTTACTCGAAATATTTCAATAATAAAATTTTTACGTATTCATTTATTATAAGTATTCTATTATTTTGATGAAACTTGCCAACCCACTCTAGTATATTTTTTTACAGAAGTGCCTCTCAAATTCGATCGATTTTTTAAACTTTAAATTCATAGTTCAACAAAAAAATCCCAATTTTTGAAAACTTGTGGTAATTCAGTTATTGTTTTTGATTGTGGTCTTACAAATATTATTTATGATTATAGTTCTAACGTCAAGATAAACAAATATAGTAAAAATTAATCACATAAGCCAAAAATTGCACTTAAAAGCTCGTAAGTTCCAAACAACGTGAGATAGATTTTTTTCAAAAATTTTTTAAACTATGACCAATTTTTGGCTTACGTGGTTAATTTTTGCTAATTTAGTTCATTTAAACTTCAAAATCATAATCGTGGATAAAATTTCTAGAACCACAATCAAAAATAATGATACTATTGCTACAAGTGATTGTGAGAAAAATGTACTAGCAAAAAACTTGTTTTAGGTTTTTGTTTTTTTACTCAAAATATTTCAATAATAAAATTTTTAAGTATTTTATTATTTCACAGTCCTCATTTTGCTGATTTTTTATGAAACTTGCCAACATCACATTTACATTTTTTTACAGGAGAGCCTCTCAAATTCGACCGATTTTGTAAACTTTAATTTTATAGTTCAACAAAAAATCCTAATTTTTGAAAACTTGGGGTAATTCAGTTAATGTTTTTAATTGTGATCTTAAAAATAGCATTCATGATTATAGTTCTAAAGGTTAGATTAACAAAATTGGTAAAAATTAATCACATAAGCCAAAAATTGCTCATAATTTCATTAAAGCTCTAGATTGCACTTATAAGCTCGTAATCTTCAAACAACGTGAGATAGTTCTTTTTTTCTATTTTTTTTAGGACAGTTAAAGTCAATACTAGTTAAAATAAATTTATATATCCACATACACTAAACAATTCTTCATATTTCATATTAAAAAAAATTATATTAATTATTTCTTTAAACGAAAATTCGTTCTCCAATGCAACAGTTTTAAGAGTCCTTTATTAATGGAAGGGGTGAAAGTTTTTTTCCCATATTTTTCTTCGTTAAGAAGGCTTCATCCTTGGGGATTATCACATAATATAATCCTGCAGGATGAATCATTATTTCCTTGGCAATTTACCACAAGATGTACCTGCTGCAGCAGCAAGTACTGAATTTCCAAGTGAAACTTTCTCCATGCTTCATAATTAGTCTGATAATGCTTTTAATAGGGCGAAGGAATAAGGGTTGAAGTATGATGTAAATATATATATATATATATATATATATATATATATATATATAATAATATCCTTACATTTATACTTTGTCGTTTAAAAAATATTTGGAATGAAACATTGTGTCACAAACAAAAATTAGCGTATGTAAAAACACAAATAATTTGACGTTGTAATTTTTTTTTTAACACGCAATAATTTTGGTTACAAATACAGCTTATGTTTCCAATTTTTCAATTCAAATAATTTATTATTGTAAAACATAATATCATTCCCGCGAATAATATTCCAATGGCGTCGATGCGAATTCAATTTCCGGGGGGACCTTTTATCTGTCAATGGGGGGTGCCCCATTCCAAAATCTTTTTGAAAACGGGGACACGATTTATTTTTAAAAGAGCTCCGAAAAAGTCGAGACACATCCTAAATAAATCATACATTCACCTTTCGACAGCAAATTTGGTTATTAAAAAAAGAGGAGAAGAAATAGACTTATGGTAATTTATCGATTTTATATTTTAATGAAATTTCATTATTTTTATATCAAAGAATTAATTTAGAAATTTCATGAAATATTTTTATTTATAGTTAAATATTTATAATCACATTTTTTTTATATCAATTATTATATTTTTTATTATAAAATAAATTTTGAAATTTTTCATGTATTAATATCGTAGACTGCATTTTCATATATAAATGTATACAAAATTCAAAAAACTATGTTAGACTGTTTTTAATATTTCAGCTTGAGATTTTTATCAATTATGTTTATATAATTTTTATTGAGAAATAATTTTTCACTTACTTGGTATCCTGTTTATGGCCCTCAAAGGTCTAAGAACCCTTATTGTCCTTATTGCTGACAAATTCATGTTTTCAACATGAAGACAATATTCCAGAGCACCTGCCAAAACTATGAAAAAATCCAATCTGGAATAAAAATTAATAAAAATAATTAATATATATATAAATTATATAAATTATATAAATTATTGATTTTATAAAAAACATATTGTTAAACAAAATATTTGTAAAAAAAATAAATATATAAAAAAGTAAAGAAGTCAAGAAATATAAAAAATGCATAAATAAAATAAGTAAATTAATAATGAGTAAATATGTAAGTAAATAAAAATAAAAATAAAAATTAATATATGTAGAAAACAAAAATAATTTAATAATCATACACAATTACAATGAATTTTAATAACCACATCATTTGTTAATAATATACCAATATTAATTTGTTAAAAAATTAAATACAAAAGGTATATATAAAATTTGTATGAATATTAATAATTCCAACAAATGAGCAACAATAATCATTTAATTCATATTATTGATTATTTTAATTATTTTATGTATATTAGTGTTTTTTTTATTATAATTTGCCTATTTTTTTAAATATTTACTTAGTTTTATGAATTATAGTTGATAAATTATATTATAACAATTATTTTTATAATAAATCTTATGTAAACATTTTTAGGCTATATATAATATTTAAGTAAAGAATAATTATATTACATTTATTTTCTTTATTATATAATCATATTTGTGAAGAAATAAATATATAAACAAGTGAAGTAGTCAAAAAATAAAAAATAAATGAATAAAGAAATGCATAAATAAAACAAAAAATCAAACAAATTAATAAGTAAATGTGTAAGTTAATTGAAGTAGAAATGAATAAATATATAACTAAATAAAACAGAAATAATATAATAAACATAGATAATTATAATAAATTCTGATATCCACATTTTTAAACTAAATTACATTATATTACAAGAATTATTAATTAAATCCTTGGGTTAAAAAGGTAGTAAAAATTTATTTTATTATTTAATTATTTGTTGTATATTATTAAAAATTGATTCTTGATACAATTATAAAGATAACACATATAAATATCAAAAATTAAAATATCGTTGAAAATCTATTGAGCAAATATTAAAATTAAACTAAATATAAAAAGATATTTGCAACAATTGATATGATGTATTCTTAAAAATTCCTTAAAAATCTATTATTGTTATCTGTATATTATAGATATAGTTTTTAATTTATTGTACTATTTTTATTATTTATTTAATAAATTGTTTATATAATTCTCACTTCTACACAATTCTTAAAAAATCTATTATTGTTATCTTTATATTATAGATATAGTTTTTAATTAATGGCACTATTTTTATTATTAATTCAATAATTTTTTTGTAATAATTCTCACCTGTTCCAAGAATCTGCCAAATAAGTTCCTCTACCATGGACACCCATTGCAATCATTTTGATGGTCATTTCCAATGAAAAAAAAGCAAAAATAAAATCATCGAAAATCTGAAACCAGAAAAATACATTAGTAAAAATATAGATAAATTAGCTGAAATAGTTAACCAAGACACTTTAGTGGAAATTTTTTACAGTAGGGCCTCTGAAAAAGGACTAATTTTGAAAATTGTAAATTCGTAGTTCAGCTTGATTTTAAGAAAACTTGGGGTAAATTTGTATATATTTTTGACTGTGTCTTAGAAATGTTTATTACAAGATTACAAAATAAGAGTTTAAATTAACATAATTAATCAAAATTAACCACAATCACCAAAAATGTATGATATTAGCTCTAGGTTGCACTCAGAAGCTCATAATTTCCCAACAACGTGTGGTATTTTTTCCAATGTTGAGTTCTGGGAAACCTTGTATATATTAATTATAATAAAATTATTTTCTCACCTGTAAAATTTTACACCTATTCGTGACACAATTTTCATCAACACAAGGCTGATACATCCCCAAAGTTACACAATTCAGAAGGATGACCAACATCGATATCCTCTCGAACCATTTGCACAGGAATTAAGGAAATATACCAAAAATATTTTCAAAAAAATTTATACAAAAATATTTTCAAATTTCTATGACCAATATATAATTATCTATGACAATAGTATAAATATCTACTAAACAAAAGAGCGTTTATATTTATCATTTCAAAGTTTTTTTTTTACATATATATTTTTTATGAATTTTTTAAAATGTTACTAATATTTTTGGCAATGGTGATGTTTTTATCAAACTTAGGATTAGAAAGCAATTCGACCAATGATCAGCAATGTTGTACGAAAAAAAGTTTGGATGATTTTTTTCCTGATAAATTTCAACGTGTCACACGTCAAGTTACTACTAATGAAGAAGGTAAATATAAAAAAAATAATATTTATCAAGATTTAAAATTATTTTAGTATAAAATTTTAAACTATTTTCACATCTCAAAAAAATATTGAAGAGACAAAAAATTAAACAGACAAATTTTGATTCAGAGCTTCCTAAAATGTCAGTTTTTTTAAATAAAATTATTACGTAATTTTATATCCATAAAGATATTTTTAGTAATGAATTAATATAATTTTTTTTTCAAATAAAAAACGTTTTAATTAGGCATTTTTAATTTATTTAAATTTATTAATAGTTTTATCAGGTTATATCAGGGTTCTGAGAATTATTTTAACTTTTGAAATTTCTTAGTACTTAAACATAAAGAATTAATTACGCTCCTTATATATTAAATTTTTCAAAATTTAATATGTAAGAATTTTTAAAACCTTCAAATTTAAAAAACTAATTGATCAGGTTTTTTGAATTTTGAATTTTGAAGCAAATATATCTGATCTTTTTTAAAAATTTTCAATTGATTCAATTTAATCTTGAAAATCTTTACAAGACAGATTTTTCTTTAATTTGTGAACTTAAAATTCTTTATGAAAAATCAAAATTTAATAAAATTTTCAATTCGTCAAATATTTCAAATTTAGTAAAATATTCAAAACTTGTTAATATATAAATTTTAACGGTTTTTTTTAAATTTCAAAATTTAACATTTTTTTTTATAAACTATAAATAATTTAACATTATTTTCATAGAATATACAAATAAATAAATAAAAATATTAAAATTTATCAAAATCCTTGCAAAATAAGATTTATTAATATTTATCATAATAAATTAAAATTTAATGAGAATTTAAAATTTTAATCTTGAAGATCTTTACAAGTCAGATTTTTTTTCAATTTATGAACTTAAAATTCATTTAAAAAATCTAAATTTAATGAAATTTTCAAATTTTAGTCTAAAAAAAATATTTAAACTTTTGAAATCTTTACAAATAGATTTTTTGGAAATTAGTCATCCTTAAATTTATTATAATAAATTAAAATTTTCAAAATTAAACATCTAAGTTATAGAATAATATTGAAACCCTATGAAAATTATGACATTTTTTACGAAATCTTCAAGTTTTCAAATTTTATTCACAGAAAAATATTAAAACTTTTGATATTTTTACAAATAGATTTTTTTTTAATTTGTCATCTTTAAAAATATTATAATGAATTAAAATCTTCAAAATTAAACATTTAAGTTTTATTTCAATCTCAGAAGAAAAATATTTAAAACGTGTTAACATAAAAGTTGAAGTTTATTATAATATAATTTCCAAAATTTTCCAAAAAATCTTTATTTTCGATTTTCGATTAATGAAATATTAAAATTTATCAAAAATAATTCCTTAAAATTTTATTATATTTGTAAATAAATAATTTATATTTAAATTCTCGATTTTCGTAATAAATATTTGTAATTAGTGATTAAACAAAAATTATTTGACAACATTTATAAGTACCCCAAACTCCTCAAATAAAATTTCAAATCTTCAAATATATTAACCAACTTATTTCTTTATCATTTTATTTATATATATATTAATTTTTTATACCGATGAATTAAAAAAATATGTGAATGATTGTATTAAATTTCATTAATTATAATAAGTTTAAAAATTCTAAAAAAATTGCTTACTTTGCAAATATTTTAATCGTGAGAATATAATTTGTAATAAACAAATAGAAAAAAATCAGATTTATCAAAATAAATAAATTTAATTAATACTTCCGAAGACAACTCCCTTCATTAATGATAAAATAAGTTGATATAAATATATAAAATTAGGTCAGTACAAAATTCAATATTTGTTAAATAATTCTATTATCAATTGATGTAAATATAAATAAAAATAAAATAACTTTGTAACCCTCCACCTGCCCCAATTTTTCCCCTCAATTTATTACAAATGTGCATAATATTAGGTCGACAGGTCGTTCAATATTTGGATTCCATTCGACTAGTCTCGTATTATTAAATTTCGTGCCCTCGAAAGTCAAATAATATGCTTTTGAACTATGACTGCACCACCGCCATGTGGTTAACCTGCATCAAAGTTTATTTAAACACATAACTCGAATGCATTATATGCACACGAGAGAAGAGAGGGTGGAAAGTTTCAATTTAGTTGATTTTCAAATTGTATTTGATGTTGGATTATATAAGTAATGGACTGGTGTAAATAATAATAGTTAACTAAACTGTGCAAAAACCTTTTGGAAAAATATATGTAACAATGTACAAGAAGTTTTTAGATTTATCAGATTTTTTATTATTTTAGTAGCACAATTTTGTAAAATTGTTATATGGCACGATGTTCAAAATTATTAAAAGTATTCAAAATATTCAATAAAATTGTATATTGAATATTCGACGGCGCCGCAATATAACTTGCATGTCCGAAATTATATAGTTTAGCTATAAACTTAGCTATTCAGGCTATTGTTACAGCATAAACTTGAGCTTTGATGTACATTCCATTGGGGCAAGATTCGAAATATCTCGATATATATATATATATATATATATATATATGTATATTATATATATATATATATATATATATAAATAAAGCTCTTGATAAAATGATCCGCTCAAAAACGACTAAACCGATTTGGTCAGTCTCAGTGTTGAAAAATTCGTGCCAATTTTTGGAAAGGTGAGATATTATTTCAAAATCGCGTAGAAACTTTACATTTTTAATTTGAAAATTTTTGTACTAACGTAATTTAAATAAAACAATAGACGGTGGCTAATACGTCAAATGTCAAACGTTTTTGACAGATGATGTTCAATTACGTTTAATAGAACGTTTTACGTAAATATTATTTAATTATGATTGAATTGTAGTAAGTAGTTTTGTTCGTAATTATATTTATATACAAAAACGTTAGTAAACGTAAATTGACGGCTTAAAATATATTTTAAAAATATAATGCGTTGTAATACAGTTATGAAATTATAGTATGTTATTTCCTAATATGTGTACTGAATTATAAAAATATAAAATCAAATATATTTCTAACCGAAGAAACTAAAAAATTGCTATGCACACTTGCATACTCTATTTTTATTAGTTGCGAATCGATGGTTGGATATGATATGAGAAGTGCTTTTGAAAAATGTTTTAAAAATATACAATATTATACTAGAGCCATAAAATTTTAGTATGTTATTACTTAATATATGTACTCAAATATAAAAGTATAAAATCACGTATGTTTCTAACAAAAAAGCTATAAATGTGCAATTTTGTAAACAAATGCACTCTTGCATATCTAGTTTCCAATACTTGCAAAAGTCCACGGTTTGATGACTATTTTGAAAAATATTTAAAAATGTAAAACGTTATACTAGAGTGACAAAATTTTAGTATGTTATTTCTTAATATGTGTAATAAATTATAAAAATATAAAATCATACATGTTTCTCACAAAAAAGCTACAAATTTGCAATTCAGTAAAATCATGTAATAGGGCCGCAAGTGTTACTACAAACTCAACAATATCAACTTTTTTGAAATCTTAATATGGAAATGCACTTTTTGGCATTTATTTTCATCATATTTTTCTCAAACACAGTGCTCTGAAAGATCTCAATTGTATAATTATATACTCGTTGGTATTCATAAAACATTTTCTAGTTTATATTATTTTTTATTTATGTTTTTTAAATTCAAAACCTAAATTTGGTATCGATCAAAGGGACATTTTGTCGAATAACATTTTCCCAGTTAGAATTTATTTAAAATTAGATAGTAATATATAAAAGTTCGGGGCTAAAAAGGTTCACCACCGATGTGTCACAAACTATTAAAGTTAAGCATTGTTTAACAACAATATTTGAAAGTAGAGGTAAAAAGATGTATAACCAGCTATAACCGTGATTCTTATGACTTTGCTATCGAGAGATAAACGGTAATCTTTAAAAATCCATAATAATAGTTTTTTTTTGTTGGTAGTTTGTTAGCATTAGTTAAAAATGTAATTATTTTGTAAAATACCTTTAAAATTAAAATAAGACATTAAACATGTTTGTCTAACTAAATATATTACACAGATAAATAAATCTTTCGTCTCAGTGTCTAATATAGTATTAAAATCTTTGTTTTCATTTGAAACAAATATTTAATCTGTATATATTTATTTATTTATTTATTTATCTCTCTCAGAAGAACCTACCACATCCCTGAGAAAAAAACGCGAATATTTGCAAAGATTCAAAGATCTGGTCGAATTCGATATGACCAAAATAACTGATGAAGATGTGAAGAATTTGTTGAAACGTTTGTCCGATGATGATAGGAAGGTGTTCGAGGATGCAACAAGATTCAACTACGATGTAAACATTGAGGTAAATTTTAAAAAAATAGTTATAAATGTTTATAGATAATTTTAATGTTAGATAATTTAGTAGACTAAAACTTTTATATATATATATATATATATATATATATATTTAAATTTTATTATTTGTGTACAATTATTTTTATTAATTTGTTTGAATTTTTTTATTAAAATAGGATGTTAGAAAAAAATCTCGAGGAAGATAGGAAAAAAAGTGAACAACAGAAATTGATAGACTGGTGGTGCCGTTGCGATTATTAAAATTTATTACTTTATATTATATTAATTTTTAATTTTTTAATCCATAAACAAACTATTTATGTTTTTAGATTCTATATTTGTTAAAAAGTAAATATAAAAAGTATGAAATGTAGAATGTTAAAATAAATAAGTGTGAAATTTTATGAGTTGTTTATTATATTCACAGAAAATATCAAAAATGGCGCTTGATGAAATAAATCGGTTAAAATTATGATTTTTTTTCAATGATTAAATTTTAATTCTAAAATTTTAATTTTTTGAGCCAATGATCAAATTTGTAATAAATACAAAAATTAACTAGTGCCTTAAGGCAAATTGCTGGAACTTTTCTTACCAAAAATTATTTTTTTGTAAAAATATTCAATTTATTTAGAAACTTTGAATAAAATATATTTTTGAGAATTTCAATTTTTTTTAATAAATTGATGATATAAAGGTATGATATCTAGAATGTTGAATTAAATGAGTATGAGATTTTATGAGTTATTTATATTAACAAAAAATATCAAAAATGACACTTATCAAATGAACCATAAAAATTTGTATCCGCACACACATACTTCATTTTTTTCTAATGTATGCCAAAATGTTCAGAAACCTCTGAAACGCAAAGATATATAAAAATTATCATATTCGATTTTTTTGGGATTAACTTACCCTACAGAAAATTATTACAAATTATTAATGCCAGAATTAGTACTAGATTATTTTCTTATCCAGGATTTCAGATCAAAGTCTGTCTATAAACTGCTTAATTTTCCCAACTAATAGTTTGTAAATCCGCAAAGTTCAATATCGAAAATTGAGTAAATTTTAAGCCGGATTTGTGTTAGATAGAATACTTTGTGGTTTAGTAAATTACAAACTTGGGATTAAATAAAGACACAAATTCCTACATCGAAAATTTGACAGAGACTTAATTTTTAATTGACTTGTTTTTATATAATCAATTAATAATAATTAATTAATTGACTTGTTTTTGATTTGATTTGATTGATTTTAATTAATGTTGCATTTGTAATTTTTTATAAAAATCTAAACCAAGTTGAGATTTGTGAAAATACTCTTTATATAACAGTTTAATGTATGTTGTTCTTATATTACTTTTAATTTTGTAACCAGTTTTTTTTATTTGAGTTTGAGCTTCAAAAAACATTTTTCATTAGTTAATGGATGTTATAAGATATAAGATGATTTTATGAGAAGTCATTTCTATACTTAACAGAATTATTATAAAAGTTTTAGAATGATTTGCAAATATTCTTCTAATTATTAATATTTAATTAGATCTGTAACATTTATATTTTATAAATACTGATTTACAATATAATTTTTTTTAGAACTATTATAAATAAATACTTGTAGAAATTAAAATACATATTTTATATTTATTAGGGTGGTCCTTAATATGGACATTTTCAAATTTTTTTGCTCTCAAGGGCTCAAATGGTTCCAAATTGATAAAAAACAATTCTCTGAAAGTTTTAACTCTTAATATTAACTTTTAGATAGTGCGAAGTTCACTCAAACTTCGAATAGAAATAGCATGAAAAAAATTTTGAAAATTAAAAAAAAAAAAAGGTATAACTTAGCGACAAATGAATTAAATGTGAAAATTCGTATCATTTTTCAATGAAAATTTGACGCTCTTGTTTTCTATACAAATCTTTGATCGAATTGCGCTCATAATACTAACTCATAAGTAAATGCCGATATATAAATAAAAAGTGTGAATATGCAACTGTTTAAACATAAAAATAAAATTGTCGATATGCAGTTTTTTAGGCCGTTTTTTGCGTCATTTTGTACCGCAACCTGAAACAAGGCGTCGCCGCAGGTCAAAAAACACGGCGTTGGGACTTACTCAAATACCATCGGTGCAACCTCAAGTTTCATATATAGAAATACATAAAAATAATAAATATTAATAATAATAATATTGAATTGCGCTCTATCTAAAAGTTAATATTAAGAGCTAAAACTTTCAGAGAATTGTTCTTTATCAATTTGAAACCATTTGAGCCCTTGGGAGCATAATATATATATATATATATATATATATATATATATATATATGCATGTAATAGTTTTAGCATGTCAGTTGTGAAATTAATACACAAGAGGCTTATATAGAATTAACAGCTTAAACCTTTGAAACAGTGCAACAGCCAGTATTGATAACTAATCTCATAAGCTCATATATCGATACACCTGGAAATATCATAATATATTCATTTATATACTTTATATATATATATATATCCATGTATCCTTTACAACTTTTCCAATATTTATCAGACCCAAACTATATTTCGTATCGTATTTATTCCAAGTGAATATCGATATTTAATATTTTAGTAAAAGTTTCCGCAGGAGTTTCGGTTTTCTGGAAGAGAAAAGAGCAAAATTTTCAATAGAACGCCCTAAAGATAATTGTTATTTCGAAGCATGATATGCTTTTCATTAAAACTTTTCTCTGCTTCTTTGGTGGAAAGTTTTTATCTTACAGGAACACGCCATGGGAACAAACAAACAACACGTGTCAGAAATGTACTGAGATTATATGTTGATATTGATATTTAATAAATAAATAATATATATGTATTTATATATATATATATATATATATATATATATGAATTACAATTTAACAGCAATCACCCATAATGTCACCTTAGCAAAAGGAATTTTTAACTTCCCATAAAAAAACAAAAAAGTCATCTTAAAAAAACATTTCTCGATTTATTTACTGTCGACGTTTCGGACCTACGTACGTTCCATCTTCAGAACATCTGTCAAGAAACATGATTTTGATAAATTTAAACAAACAATATGTTAGGAAAATTGAAAATGTTGGATTTTTTAAAATGAATAGGATTGTGAAAAAAATAATACGACAATATAATCAAAATAAAAGTAATAAAAATAAATGAGTGAATTATATAACAGAATATATTTAATATTCTAAATCCCTTAACATCGAATGAATAATACTTTTTTTCACATGAAAAATTAAAAAAAACAAATAACTAATAAATTTGAATTGCAAGATTTGTTCTTTGTCTGACAAGAAATTAATAAAAACACAATTTTTATTGATAAAATCGTTTTTAGTGAAAAAGTGTTAGTGTAAAATCTATCATGCAGGTGATTAATTCTGTTTTTCTTAATAAAGCTTTCTAATTTTCTAACATTTCTAATATTTAGTTATATAATCTACCCATTTGTTTTTATTATTTTTATTAACTTCCCGAAGGAGAAGTTTATGTTTTCATGAAAAATCCGAGTTGCTAATTTTATGTTTTCTTGACGTTTCAAGCCATTCTGAATCAAATGAGACTAAATTTGGACCAAAAGTATGTGTGTGTACGTGTGTATGTATAAACAGATTTTTTACCGTAAATCGATTTTTTTTAAAAAAATGGATGGATCGATTTCAACAATTTAAAATCCATTCGATGTATCTCGATGGGGACTATTGTTTCTCAGTTTTGTGCGATGATCGGGCGAGCTGTTTCTTTGTAAATAGCAGGAAAGTGAATAATTTTTCGTCTACATTTTACCTCACAATCCTGAATCGATTTTAAAAAATCAAAAACAATTAATTTATTCATTATATCTTCTAAACTGTGTGTTTAATTTGAATGCAATATTCAAGCAAATTGTTTGAAATTTATTAGTCTATTTTAATTTTCTCTAACATTATAAATCCATAAAGCAACTCGGTATACTTTAAACTTTAAACTTATACTTTAAATTTGTAATAAATAGATAATTAACCCAAACAACTTGTTGTTTCCTCCTAATGCATTTATTACCTACATCTCCTATAACTTCTGAACAGTTCGTTAAAAATACATACAATATTCAGAAAATTTGTACGAAATTAAATTCCCTATATAATTTTCTAATACTAAAAACCATACAGCAATTCGGTATACCTTAAAATCGCTGCAAAAAATAGAAATATGCGCCCGCAATGCAAACGTGAAATTTTTTAGATAAAGTTAGTACAATAATCACTCTTGCTGCTCGAAAATTATTTAAAATGACGATTTGTAAGAATTTATTTTTGTTTTTATAGAGTTTATATTATTTTTTATTTTATACTATCTGTTTATAATTTTATTTTTTTATTGTTAACTCATTTTTATTTATGTTATTTGTTTTTTTTTATTTGTTTACCTGTGCTGTTTGATATTTCAATTGCTTTTTATATGTAATTTTTATTATTGGCGATGAATATGGTGATGGTTGTAAATAACTTATATTATATATATATATATAAAAGTTGTAAATAACTTATATATATATATATATAAAAGGGTAACCTTGTCTTATTGTCCCATCAAGAAAAAACACAGGTGCTGGGAACGATTCACTTTATATTAAAACACATCCATCACTTTAACCAGAACACTTTAGAACAATGTATATATATATATATATATATATATATATATATATATATATATATATATATATATATATATATATATATATATATATATATACAATATTACATTCTAATGATCGGGCGTTAAATTTTCTATAACGAAACCAAAGAAAATTCACAATAGTATATAAAACGTACAATCTCTTTATACAAATTTACAAAAATTAGTGTAGTTTAATTTTAAATATTAGTTGGTATTAGTATAGTATGATTTAACTTGTTTTCAATAATTTCCGATCCTAATATTTAAAAATTACAAAATCTACAAATCTCTCGTTGCTATATTTAAGTCAGTCAATCAAATACCCTTTTTTTTTCGAAAATGCTATAAAAAGCTACTAAATATTCTTTCTTTTTTTATATATTTAAGTCAGTCAATCAAATACCCTTTTATTCGAAAATGCTATAGAAAGCTACTAAATATTTTCTCTTTTTTTATATATTTAAGTCAGTCAATCAAATACCCTTTTTTTTCGAAAATGCTATAAAAAGCTACTAAATATTCTTTCTTTTTTTATATATTTAAGTCAGTCAATCAAAACCCTTTTTGTTAAAAAAAATGCTATGAAAAGCTACTAAATATTAGGTTGTCAAATATCTCCCTTCCGCCTTTTTGTATTATAAACCAAGAGCAAAAAAGCGGAAGAGAGATATTTGACAAGCTAATATTTTCTCTTTTTTATATATTTAAGTCAGTAAATCAAACACCCTTTTTTCGAAAATGCCATAAAAAGCTACTAAATATTTTCTCTTTTTTTATATATTTAAGTCAGTCAATCAAATACCCTTTTTTTAAAAAAAAAATGCTATGAAAAACTACTGAATATTTTTTCAATTTTTTTTAATTGAAAGCACAATTCTTCAAGTTATTAATAAACAAATACTTTAATCAAGAAAATTAAATTAATTGATTTCAAAAAGGTAATAAAAGAATAAAAAAAACGTTATATGACGGATCCTCTCCACTATATTAAATTTTATAAAATGCAAAATAAAATAAGCTGTTACTATCAACCATATAGTAAATAATGACTTGAATTTCGAGACTATTTTTTACCAATACCATAGACCTTTCTTTCGACCCTTTGATTAACCCTAAAGTAATACGTCATTCCTTCGTTGCTTGTTCGACTTCAATACATTTGGAATAAGCAAGAAGGACTCGGGTCTAATAAATCCTTAAAGGATACACAGAGATTGACTTGGGAAAAGGTGCAAAAATCATACAACTAACACGGTTGGTAAATGACCTACACATTTTAGTAACATTTAGATATAAACTGATAAGACACGTGGAACTTTGGAAGATAATAAATTAAGGGGCACACCTAGTGTGAAATTTTCTAAAAATTGAATTTCGATAGGTTATACCTTTAAAAATAACATACTAAAATTTTAAATTGATATCTTAAATAGTTTTTGAGTTATAGCCATTTAAAAGAGTATATGTAGTATATGGTATAACGATTTTATCCTTAGTTACTTAAAAGTGCTTTTATCGTGTCATTTCCAAAATATTTAAGATTTTTCTTCAAAAATTTTACTGTGTATTCTCAAAACATGTATAAACATACCCTCAAAATTTCAAATAGATAGATTCACTAGTTTTTTTGTTTTTTTTTTTAATTCCCATAAATGACCTTTTTTAGGTTGTCACACTAGGTGTGCCCCTTAAGTATTATAATAAATAGGCAAGTTAATAATAATTTTGTATAAAATTCATTCTAACTCATGAATTCAGATATTAATATAAATATAAAGTGTAAATATGCGACTGTTTAAGCATAAAAACAAATATTATCGGTTCGCAGTTTTTTAGGCCGGGTTTCGCGTCATTTTTCACCGCAACCTAAAACAACGCGTCGCCGCAGGTCAAAAATACAGCGCTGGGACCCGCCTAAAAACCATCGCTGCGATCTCGCGTTTCGTATACAGTAATACATAAAAATAATATATAATATTTAAAAAATATAGTAAAACCTTATCGTTAGTAACGAAATACATGGTCTGTTCAAAAAGTACCCGGAATTACTAATATTAAATTTCGCGGGTCTGGAGTGTCTGATTGTCAAAATTTTTTTTTATTGTGTTGGTATATATGCCCCTAAAGTATGATGAAATTTTCAGCTATATTTACTGTTTACTTTGTCTGTGGTAGTCGCTAAGGTTCGACGTGTTTTTCTGAGCTCTGCGATTTTTACAATGGAAGAATTGAAAAAGTCAAAGAATTTGTATTAAATTTTGCGTAAAAAATGAAATAAAGTGTTGCAAAGTGCAAAAATTCACCAGATATGGCTCCGTGTGACTTTTTCCTATTCCCAAAGTTGAAGAGACCCATGAAAGGACGGCGGTTTTCCTCGATTGAAGAAAATCGCCGAGAGTGCTCAAGGACATATCAAAAAGTGAATATCAAGGGTGCTTCGAAAATTGGAAAAAACGCTGGCATAAGTGTATTATATCTGGGGGGACTACTTTGAAGGGGACCACATTAATGTAGACGAATAAATAAATATTTTTTTGAAAAAACGAAAATTACGAAAACTTTTTGAACAGACCTCGTATACAATTTTTGTTCCATCGATTACCAAATTCTTGCGAGTCTTCATCGGTCGTAATAAAATGTCGTCGGTAATAAATAAATTTGCGAATCGTGCAAAATATGACCGATTTTATGGTCCGTATCACGAATTGTATGCAATCATCGATCATTAAGCAAGGTTTATGGGCTTTTGGGCGCCAGAATGGCAGTTAACTTTATGATAAGCGACAAATATGGACAATGTGTATAAAAATCGAGGATTAATTGATATAAAATCGAGATTGATATATAATAATAATTAGAGAAGTTAATGGAAATATATAAGCAATTTTAGTTGCAAAATTTGAATAGTCTGATATATATATATATATATATATATATACATATAAATTCGAAAAAATCGACAGATGCGTAGTTTTGAATATACAGTATTCAATTTTATCCGGGATATGTATATATTGTTTTCTAAGCCAATAAAAGTGGTAGCCACTTTGTATTGAAATAGCTTCGAGCTCTCCCATATTGTGTTTCTAGAATATATCTATCTAACTTTATATATATATATATATATATATATATATACTGGGATATAAATGTTCTAGAAGATTGGATTATTCTCTTGAAGAGTTGTATCGCAAATTATTTTCCCGTATAATAGAATAAAATAAAATTGCCTTCAGAAAATGCATTTACTGATACAAATGCGTCGACGTATAAAAATAATACATCACATTATTTCTACAACATAAATTTATATCCTGTGATAATCACAAAATATTATAATTAAATTTTATTACTATGTCAAAATTTAAACAAAACACACTCAAACTTTGACACGACATTTTTATAGAACAATTTTAACTGATGTATTTTAATCCGTGAAATATCTTCACATTTTTTAACGTTTTTATATCCAGTTTTATATCTTAGATAGATATTTTTTTAGTAATTTTTAATAATTTTTGATAATTTTATGAAACTAAATGGCTGATACACAAATACAAGTGATCACAAGTGATTTTGTGGAAATCACTATCACGAATTCGCAAAATGAGGCTGCTAGTGTACAGAGGAGATTTTTTAAATGTAAGTGGTAAAAAAAAGTTTAATAGATCTTTCTGAATGTTTTCTATAAAACCGAAAAGTGGTGCTTTTGTATGATATTTGTGAGTTATTTGACAAAAACCAAAAAAATGACCCGAAATTTCTAAAAAATGCTAAAGAATATAAAAGAATGAATTTATAGTCGTTCTATTCCAAATTTTTATATAGGGGTGTATATGAATGTTGGCATGAAATCGTAGTAAATTTTATCTAGTTTTTCCCAATCTAACTGAAAAGGGGTGCTTTCGTATGATATTTGCCAAAAATCAAAAAAATATCCTAAATTTTCTATTTCTTTTCGAAGAATAATGAGAATTTTAAACCGAAGCAAGTACTGAACATTTTTGGCAAAACATTACCATTTTTTTTAAAAAAATGTAATTAAACTACAAGTCGGATCTTTTTGAAATTCACATATAATAATAATACATATTTAAACTATTTTAAGAAATATCTATACGTAAATTTAGATTTTTCATACATCTGTTAATTGAAAAAAAACTGACCACGAATGAATATCAATATTATACTACTGCTTGAAATGTGTTTTCTACTTTAGTTATTTTTTATAAATAAACTATTTTTAGTACACAATTGTAATTTAGCAATGTTATTTACAAGATCATTGTGAACGTAAAAAAAAAATTAAAACCTGTCTTTGTCTCCACAAAATTTTACAGTATCGCCAAAATTTCAAAACAAGTACCAACTCATTCCCCAAAAATATCACTCAAATTCAAACATTTTTTACAATTAACCCTTCCCCCCGATTTCCTTCAAATTCACACACAAAATCAATCAATATTTCTATTCCCCAGCAATATCAATAGGTGAATTCAAATCTCGTCTAGAGCTCTTAACAGGAGGCCGAGCTGCAACAATGCGCCTGCAACTTTTTTCAAAAGACGACACTCTCGTCGGAGTATTGGACAAGGACGAATTGCCTTTGGGATCTTACCCTATCGATTCGGGCATGCGGGTGCATGTCATCGATGATTTCAAGTGAGTTTTTTAGTAATGAAAGTGTAAAGGACATGGAAATTGTGTATGGGGGATTATTGGTTGTTTAGTTGTGTAAAAGTTTGTGAAATAAAGTTTTGGAATCGGTTCACTCGTTTGCGAAATACAAAGAAAAATGTGTACTCTAATCAGAGAGACAAGGACGGTTTGTCTCTGGAATCATATCGATGACTTCAAGTGACTTTTTTAGTAATGAAATTTAATGGGACATAAAAACTATGTATCGGGGAATTATTGGCTGTTTTTGTACGTAAAAGTTTGTGAAATATAGTTTTGGGATTGGTTTGATTGTTTGCAAAATATGAAGAAAAATGTGTACGATTTGATTTGGCATACCTTATCGACTCGGGCATGAGTGTGCATGTCATCGATGATTTCAAGTGAGTTTTTTAGTAATGAAAGTGTAAAGGACATAAAAATTGTGTATGGGAAAAATATAGATCAGATTGTTGTGTAAATGTTTGTCGAATAGTGTTTTGAGATTGGTTTAAGCATTTACGAGATACATAATAAAATGTACTCTATGCAGAGATACAAGGATGGTTTGTCTCTGGGATTGTACCGATGATTTCAAGTGGGTTTTTTAGTAATGAAATTTAATGGGACATAAAAACTATGTATGGTGGAATTATTGGCTGTTTTTGTACGTAAAAGTTTGTGAGATATAGTTTTGGTATTGGTTTGATTGTTTGCGAAATATGAAGAAAAATGTGTACGGTTTGCCTTTGGCATACCTTATCGACTCGGGCATGCGGGTGCATGTCATCGATGATTTCAAATGAGTTTTTTAGTAATGAAAGTGTAAAGGACATAAAAATTGTGTATGAGGGAATTATTGGCTGTTTAGTTGTGTAAAAGTTTGTGGGATATAGTTTTGGGATTGGTCTACTCGTTTGCAAAATACGGAGGTAAATGTGTACTCAAGTCAGAGAAATAAGGACGATTTGTTTTTAGCATCGTATTGATGACTTCAAGTTAGGTATTTAGTAATGAAAGTATAAAGGACATAAAAATTGTGTATGAGGGAATTATTAATTGTTTAGTTCTGTAAATGTTTGTGAAATAAAGTTTTTAAATCCGTTGAATCGTTTGCGAGATACAAAGAAAAATGTGTACTCTTGTCAGAGAGAGTCTTCCAGTGAAGTTTTTAGTAATTAAAAATAATGGGACATAAAAACTATGTATGGGGGAATTATTGGCTGTTTTTGTACGTAAAAGTTCGTGGAATATAGTTTTGGGATTGGTTTGATTGTTTGCGAAATATGAAGAAAAATGTGTACGATTTGCCTTTGGCATACCTTATCGATTCGGGCATGCGGGTGCATGTTATCGATGACTTCAACTGAGTTTTTTAGTAATGAAAGTGTAAGGGACATAAATATTGTGTATGGGGAAATTATTGGCTGTTTAGTTGGGTAAAAGTTTTAGGATTGGTCTAATCGTTCATGAGATACATAACAAAATGTGTACTCTTGTCAGATATATAAGGACGATTTAAGGCAATAATCAAACAAAAAATCTCCCTTCCAATTAATTTTATAACAGTGCTGACAGATACAAGATTATATGGTGCTCTTTATACTTACATCAAATCTGATAATATAAAATTATAAATGAAACATACATAAAACAATGATAAGACTAGACTTTAAGAGATAGTGTAGATATTATGTAATTTAGTATATGGCTAATGTACTAGTTTATAAAGCCAATAAATCATAAATAAAAAAAAGGACGATTTGTCTCTAGGATGTTATTGATGACTTCAAATGACTTTTTTAGTAATGAAATTTGATTAAACATAAAAATTATGTATGGAAGAATTATAGGTTGTTTAGTTATCTAAAAGTTTGTAGAATGTAGTTTTGGGATTGGTTCAAACATTTGCGAGATACGGAGGAAAATGTGTACTCTTATGTGTAGAGAGACAAGATCGATTTGTCTCGAGAATCGTATTGATGGCTTCAAATGATTTTTTTTAGTAATGAAATTTAATGAGACATAAAAATTAGGTATGGGAAAATCATAGATCAGTTTTTGGTATAAAAGTTTGTAGAATGTAGTTTTGGTATTGGTTCTTTTACGAGATACGGAGAAAAATGTATACTCTTGTCAGATGGACAAGGACGGTTTGTCTCTAGGATCGAATCTACGACTTTAAGTGTGATTTTTAGTAATGAAATTTAATGGGAAATAAATACTATGTATGAGGAAATTATAGATCAGTTTCTGGTATAAAAGTTTGTAGTATCTAGTTTTAATATCGGTCCAATCGTTTGCGAGATACGGAAGAAAATGTGAACCCTAGTCAGAGGGACAAGAACGATTTGTTTCTAGGATCTTATCGATGAATTCAAATAAGTTTTTCAGTAATAAAATTTGATGGGAATTAAATATTATGTATGAGGGAATTATAAATCAGTATGGTGTAAAAAAGTTTGTGAAATTGAGTTGTGGGATCGGTTTAAGCCTTTACGAGATACGGAGAAAATTGTATACTTTTATCAGAGTATTTGACAAGGACGATTTGCCTCTGAGGTCGAGCACGTCCATGTCATCGATGACTTCAAGTGACTTTTTTAGTAATGAAATTTAATGAGACATAAAAATTATGTATGGAAGAAATATAGGTTGTTTAGTTGTGTGAAAATTTGTAGAATAACATTTTTGGGATCGGTTTAAGCGTTTACAAGATACGGAAGAAAATATGTACTCTAGTCAGAAAATTGGACAAAGACAATATACCTCTGTTATCATCCCAAAGCAATTGCATGTTATTGATGACTTCGAATAAATTTTTTAGTAATGAAAAATCATGGAACATAAAGATTATATATGAAGGAAATATAGACAGTTTAGTTGTATAAATGTTTGTAGAATGTAGATGAACGAAATGTGTACTTTTGTCGGATTGTTAGTCAAAGACGATTTGCCGCTAAGATAATATCCCACATGCGAGTGCATGTCATCGATGACTTCAAATGAATTTTTTAGTAATGAAAGTATAAAGGACATAAAAAGTGTGTATGAGGGAATTATTGGTTGTTTTGTTACGTAAAAGTTTGTGGAATGTAGTTTTGGAATTGGTTTGATCGTTTACGAGATACGGAAAAAAATGTGTACGAATTGCCTTTGGGATCTTATCCTATCGGCTCGGGCATGGGAATGTATGTGATCCATGACTTAAAGTAATTTTTTTAGTAATGAAATTTAATGGAACATAAAAATCATGCATGGAAAAATTGTAGATTAGTCTGTTCTCTAAAAGTTTGTAGAATATAGCTTAGAATTTGCTTTAACCCTTTGCAAGTTACACAGTAAAATATGCAAATTGATCTAATTTTTAGGTATGAGCCTAACTATATTTTTCAATTTTACTCAAGACTAATTAATGTAAATTTCAATTTAAAAAAAATTATTATAATAGGCTAATCTTGAAAACATGAATTTTAGTATAAACTGATAAAAATTAGCTATTTTGGTTAAAATTTTCAATTAACTATATTTTTCAATAGGTATGAGGACCATACGGCAGAAAAGTTTAAATTAACAGAGGAGCAATACGACCAAAGATCGGATACTTTGAAGAACTTCCTAAAAACAAATCGTCTTGGTAAATATAATGAAGAAGCTGTTAAAGAAAGAAAAATGCAGAGGGCTAAGGAACGAAAAGAGGAGCTCGATAAAGCTCAAACCATGGAAATTGGTGACAGGTGTCAGGTAAAAATTTTTAAAAAATATAAAAAAACCGTTATAAAAAATACCAAAATTTTCCCCCCAAACCCCGTTCAGCGCTATTTTCTATTAATCCGTCTCTAAATGTTCTTTCTCCTCGGTCTCTAGTCAAAGTCTAGAGAGAGAGTTTGTACGTACTCATTTCCGGAGCTTTATGAAATTCACGAATTCGACTACAAATCCTTCGCCGAACCCAACCGGATCTGTCCCCAGGCCGGATGGGGAAAAATAAGTCCGGGGACAGATCCCCCCTGTCCCTCTGGTCCCGTTTTGAGGGCGACGTTTGCGGTATTTTGTGTCGCACACTATTAGTGTCGGAGGAAAGGACGATGTTTTTTTGAGAATAATTGATTTGGAATTGATGGTAGAGGAGAAATGGGTTTTGGAGATCTTGAAAACATGAATTTTAGAATAAACTGGGTGTAAAAATTTTTTACTAACGAAATTTTTGACGTTCAAAAGAAACTACTTGAAGCGAATTCCAATTAATGACTCAAAAAATTATTATAGGAGAAACAATTATAGTAATATAATACAAGCTTGAATGTCCAAAAAGCTCAACCAATTATTTACAAATTTAATGATTTTTTATAATCCCATGACTAAAATTCTTCATTAAAAATGTCAAAAAAATATTTACCATTTAATTACAAAAAAACAGTTCAGCTGATTAAATTATCTCAATCCCAATATTTATGTTTCTAACGGTTTTTGAATTTCCAAAAAATTCAAAAAAGACAGATGTTGATTAATATTTATTTTTCAGGTGAGGATTCCGGGACTGGCCCAGCGTAAAGGCCAAGTGGCCTACAAGGGCCCTGTAGAGGGCCAACATGGAGTTTTTATTGGAATTCGGTACGACGAACCGGTCGGAAAAAATGACGGAACTTTGGCCGGAAAAAGGTAAAAAAATAATAAATTATTAAAATATTTATTTTATAATATTTTTGTATAAGAATTGAATAACAAATGGTGTTCATAAAAAATAATATTATTAATTATAAAGCGATTTTAGAATATTATTCTTAAATAATACTAAAAGTTATTATTATTCTCATCATTTTGCATATTTATTATTTAATTCAGTGGTCTACAACTTTTTCGTATCTTTTTTTTTATTTTGTGTGGTTGTGTATGTATATGTGTGTGCCTGTTAGCTGATTTTCAACATTTGCAGTCTTTTTTCTCAATAGTGGCCAATTCTATTTCACAAAATTTTAAAGGCTGCCTAAACATTTTTAAAAATCAATTTTAAAAATTCATAAACTAGTCAAAAGACATTTTAAAATCGTGCCGATTATTTATTTTATTATATTTTATTTTTGAATAGAAATTAAATAACAATTCGTGTTATTAAAAATTAATATTGTTATTTATAAAACTATTTTGAAATATTATTTTTAAATAATACTAAAAGTTATTATTTTCTGCATTTTGCATATTAGTTTTATTATTATTTAAATCAGTAGTTTACAACTTTTTTGTAAAATTTTATTAAAAATTGTTATGTGTATTATTATTATTAAGTGTATGTGTACGTCAGTTGAGTTTTGCCAATATTTTTTTTCAGAAATTGCTAATTCTTCTATTTCACAAAATTTTAAAGGTTTGCCTAAACATTTTTGCAAAAAAACATAAATCGGTTTTGAAAATTTATTAACTATTCAAAAGACATTTTAAAATCATGCCGATTATTTTTTTTTTTGGCAAAAATTATCTTATTAAGATTGAATTATTAAATTTTTTATTTCATTTTCTTTTTGAATAGAAATTAAATAACATTTGGTGTTATTAAAAATTAATATTATTATTTATTAGGCGATTTTCAAATATTAATTTTAAATAACATTAAAAGTTATTATTATTCTTAACATTTTGAACATTAGTTTTATTATTATTTAAATCAGTAGTTTACAACTTTTTTGTGAAATTTTATTAAAAATTATTATGTGTATTATTATGTGTATTATTTTGTGAAATTTTATTAAAAATTATTATGTGTATGTGTATGTCAGTTGAGTTCTGTCAATATTTTTTCAAAAATTGCTAATTCTATTTCAAAAATTTCAAAGGATTGTCTAAACATTTTTGCAAAAAATCCTGAGTCGATTTTAAAAATTTATAAACTATTCGAAAGACATTTTGAAATCGTGCTGATTATTTTTTAGCAAATATTAACTTGGCTGTTTTTCGTAATTAAATGTTAATAATATTCAAAAATATATATAATTTGAAATTTTACTATTACTATTAATAACAATAACAAAATATAGGACACTTAAATTTGTTAAAATATCATGAAATAACCTAAAATTTGTTAAATAAAATAATTATATTGTAAAAGTATTGTAAAGATTATTAAATTACTTATTAAATTTAAAAAAAAAATACTTGCAACAAACAAACTAGTTATATTCAAAAATAATTAAAATTAACTAAATATAAAAAAGTTTATAGTAAATAAATTAAATAATAAATAAATAAGTAATAAAATAGCTAATAATCAATTAAATTATATTAAACCTGTAAAATATTGACTTAAGCCTTATTATAATATTATTATAACAACGGCTTGTAAAATAAATAAATAAATAAATAAATAAATAAATTATTTTTTTCAGATATTTTGATTGCAATGAAAAATACGGAGGATTTGTAAAACCGAGATACGTGGAAGTTGGCGATTTTCCAGAGGACGAATTAGTTTTAAGTGATTCGGAAGAAATTTAATTAAAAATATTAAAATAATATTATTTGTAAATTTGTCTTTAACACTGTACATATTATGATTGTATGCTTGTAATTAATTGGTGTTATATTTTAGCTATATTTTTCATGTGTAATCAGCCACGGAATAAATGATAGATTTAATAGAAAAATTGTTTGATTATATATAATAAAATGTTAATATATAAATGTTAATGTTATATATAAGATTATATTCGTGCTTATGATGATAAAGGCAATCAAACACAATTGAGTTTCTCTGTCAGAAAAGATATATTTTATTGTTAGTTCTACATTAGACAAAGTTTGAAAATACAAAACTTTACATACCTATCAGAAAAGAAACGACATTTAATGTTATCAATCACAATGTCAGTTCCTAAACACATTTATACTAATATCTACTATTTTAAAGATTATTTTACTTTTAGGAAATTTTATTAATTGCGCCCTGACGTATTTTAGGTTTTGTTTCACTTGTTTCACTATCCTAATATCATAGGAGCTGTATCTATGATAATTATGACGCGCAAAATTCAAACTTAAGAAAAGTAGTTATTTTTCTTTACATATATATATAAATGAAAAATTTAGAAATAAAAATTTCACTGTAAAAAAAAAACTACATCGAACTCACAGAAGCAAAAAACTTAAAAAAACACAGAAAGAATAGTAGGAACCTTAAGATCTAGTACTGAGAAAAATGCAGATGCTGATCAACTTCTGCAGCACATTAATCAGCAACTAGTAAATTTTACTATGAGCCATCAATTTAGAAGTACATATAGTTATCAACTATCCCCCGACCCTTGTCCTAATTTTTAAGATTAAAAGGGTTATGACATAAATCAAAATTCAGTACACAGACCCTAATTCGTAGTTATACGATGACGACCTCTTGCGACCTCAAAACACCTGTCCCTGTACATCCCCTTATCATAGTGTCCTTGTGATATCCTGTTGTTGCCATCCTTTGGGAACAGAAACTGGCAATTAGCATAATTGCCCTAATGGATTAGAGATTAGTACGGAGAAGGTTTAACATGGAGTAGAAGGTACGAATTCTCCGATATTGCGGTGGAGGACCACTTGAGATTGGGGACAAATATTTATCGAAATAGATAGTCGACGATTGTAGGTAAATATAGTATATATATATATATATATATATATATATATACAGGGCCGGTCCTGGGGTCCTTAGCGCCCGCATGCAACTTTTTTTCTAGCGCCCCCCCCCCCTCTTTAAATTTTAACTGTTTTAACAGTTTGTCATGTAAATTATATAAATATTTACATATTTTTAAAAAAAATATTTTTAATTATTCTGAATTTAGTACATAAAAAATTAAATATAATCTAAAAGCGTATAAAATACATTGATTTTGAATTGAATTGAAATTCGCGGGTTGATTATAATCAAATATTTTTTAATTATCAATTATTTTTAATGTATGTGTTATAATAATATTTGGGTTTTGAAACATTTTACTTATTTATTATGCAATTTATTCTATTGAGCAACTCATGCCAAGAGAGCTAAAAAAATTAGCTTTTCAATTTCAATCAAAATACTCATATTTCATGTTGGATTTTTCAAATTTTAATTTAATTTAATTTTTCATTATTTACAATATCCAAAATTGCGTCGTAAACTTCTCCTTATTTATATCGTAAGAGCCGAATTGTATTTATCCTTGCTTTCGCGACATATTCAGAGTATCGGGTTTTAAAGTTAAATTTTCAACGTATTTTAGAAGTATTGTTCAAAAATCAGTAAAAAGTGACCAGAAATTACACATTTCTTGAACTATATTGGAAAAAACTAATTATATGTGATATGTAATATTTCTGCATAGTTAATTATTATTAAATTTAGAGTATGGACACCACTAGGTATAACAAAAATCTTAAGATTTTCATTCTAAAGTAAATTTTGCTTTCATTTTTCATATTTGTTCCATATCCATAACCCTAACCACGCATATCTTCAACATTCAAAGTTTATCAGATGCAAAACATTTGCAACAAAAACAAAAGTTACAATTCAATTTTTCGGAATAAACTTGCCATTTTCTAAGCACTGACTCCCCATATTTCATTTTTCCGATTATATTTTGTTTAAACTAAATTAGCTTGCAATTTTTCGTCAATAATGCCCAATAATTAATTTAACCTCTCGCAGGTTTGCGCTTATGGAATTGAACACTGGATAATTTACAAAACAAAAAAACTTCAAACAAAAAAAAATTGAATAAGTAGATTAAGCAATAAACAAAGCTGTCATTTATTAATTTGCAGAGTTATTAATCGGTTAATTGTTTCTACTGATATTACATTGCAAAATAAATATGCTTTTTGTGTCTCCGTATCCCGAGTTAAGTTACATTGTTTATTTTAATTTATTGAGTATTCTAGATTTTATATAAATAATTAGAAACATAAATAATATATTATAAATTAAATTTCCAAAACTCGTTTTGGCGCCCCCTAAGGCTTGCGCCCGCATTTTTTGCATGCATTGCATGCAAGACAGGACCGGCCCTGTATATATATATATATATATATATATATATATATATACTCGATGAACCGACAGACGGTGTCCTGTACCCACGTCTACAATTCACAAGTTCCAAATGTTTTAATATCCTATCCTATACTTTTTACTTTCCTATTTGATGTCATGCCTTTGTGATTTTTATGGTTTTAGCATAAGCAGTATAAAAAATTTAGAAAAAATAATATAGTATCTGCGGTAAAAAAACAATATCACACTTGATTTTACTACACACAACATAATTGCTTCAACAATTTAGTCTATAATCTCGTACGATATATATGTTGCTTCTTGGCAACTGTAATTTCTAAAGTACATTTTTCTTACTAATAATTCAATAAACATTATTGTTTATGTTTAAATCTTAGCTAAGTTAATTTGTAACATCAAGTCTTTAATCTAAGATTAACTTGATAAATATTCTATATCCAATAGCAAACAGATGTATTTTTGACCCATAAAACAAAATTCTAAATCGTAGAAATATTTTTTTGTATAGTTAAATAATTTAGTAGCGACATGAATAAGTTGAAGAAAATAATGTATATGCAATTTTGTATTATTGCGTTATCTATTAAACTGAATTATATAATTTCATCTGCCAAATATATACTGTTGACTGTATCTTATAATATTTTAATTTCTGGCATATCTCAGCTGCTTTCCGGGAATAATAATGTAGACATTACATTTTTCTTGTATAATATATTTAGCCTCATAACTTCACCTAAATTCAAATTTCAAATGAATCGACATTTCTAGCAGATGACAGTTAAAATATTTTCAATGTCAAACAATGATAAGTGGTTATTTGTATTTTTTGCCATTTATTTCTACAATATGACTATAGTTTTATCGTTCATTAAATATTAAAAATTTTCTTTGACGAAGTCTAAAAAGAATTATCAAAATCCGACTAACCGTTTAGGAGAAGTATCAAATCATACACCCGTAAAGAAAATTTATATATATATATATATATATATATATATTTCTAATAACAAGAAGCGTGCACAATGTTGAAATGAGTTACGGCTTTCATATGGAAAAAAAAAATAAATTCTCGAAATGAATAATACAAATCCGAGCGAAATCTAAATCATTTTTTCAATGCCAGAATTTACCAGACCACATTATATATATATATATATATATATATATATATATATATATATATATATATATATGTATAATTCAAAATTATTTGAAACTTGTTGCAAGAGGTATTCAGCCTTAAGGCAAGTTGCATGGATCGCTCGAAATATGTAATAATTGACTTAATTGACCAACATTAAGATTTAGATATTGAGATAAAATTTTCATTACATATATCATGAAAGCAGTCCTTGATATTATTTAATAATTTAAATTAATGGTAACGTTTTTTACACTAGAGAAATTTGTAGACTTATTTTTCCACTCTTTCTTAAAAATGGATTTTAAATTTGTGAAATCACAAGAGCGACTGCTACTGACACAAATTTTGACTCATCATATTTTCTCAAGCTTTGATGAATTTTTAAAATTAAAAAACGTAATACTTTAGAATGTTATTTAGAACCATGATGTCCATGAGCATAAGAAGTTTCAGCAAAAAAAATTTTGTTAGTTAACTACGAATTTTTGGGTATAACATAGACAAATGCTTTTCTCTTAATTACTAAAAAACTTTGTCGTTCAAAACTGACCTTTGATAGTCCTCAATGAGTTACATCGAATGGTTTTAATTTTTTTGAAATCAGTCCAGCCGTTTTTGAGAAAACGTCGACGAAAAGTAAAAAATCTGTTGACACACATTTTTCCATTTGTTGGTCTCATTCGATATAGAATGGCTTGAAACATTGAGAGAACATAAAATTAGCAAATCGAATTTTTGTATGCACTTATCTCCTTCGAGAAGTTAAAAATTGAATACAAAATTGATACTCAAAATCTCGAAATCAAGCTGAATTTACCCTCAATTTTGCGATCCCAATTTCGCAAATCGTTGACGCATTACATTACATTACGAGCTGCAGCTTAAAGCTAATTTTGCAGCTGTAATTTTGCAGCTACATTATTTCGTATGAACAATTTTCTATTCACTATATGTTGCACTATGTGAATTGATAATGCTTAGAGGAACGCATGTAATCATAATTTAAAATTTACACAAGCTTTGGGATAGAATAGATAATAGATGATAGTAATTCATAAAAATTAATTGTTTGATTATAAATTTATATTGTGTCTGTTATGAGTTATGATTTAGGTTATTTATATTTTGGGTTAGAAAAAAATACAGAAATTATTTCGTATACTTCAACAGATTATTATCGTGAAGGTGTCGCCATGAAAATGGTTCCCCGAGAATAATTACCATTGCAGAATTTCATAAGCTCAAATTGTCTGATGAAAGTTTACCTAAGTTAATTGCTAAGTTTTAATCTGCCGTTTTAATGAT